CATGGAAAAATCTTTATGTGGAAAGAAATTTGTTGCTATGCTATTCAAAACATTAGAAAAATAAGAAGTGTAAGAAAACCTAAATGCTGTTAAGAAGACGGTTATATTGTGATTCATTCACTAACAGAAATATGAAAATTAGAAAAATTAATCTGAAGACTGAGTAGCACCTTAAAATGCATAGAAATAAAAAAGCAGAAGATGTACACTGATTCCTTTCATGCAGAAGACATGTGCACATGAAAACTAAGATATTTTACTTTTGTATAATAAATTTGTTTATATATATATATCACCTGAAAACTAATTTTTAGTAACATTCAAAAATGTCATTATAACACAACATATTACTTTGTGCCAAAAATACTTCAGTGAATTTCAGAGAGGAAGAAAATCACATCTAGGCCTAATGTTTGAGAAGAGATGTAATTCAGGAAGTTAGATTTAAACTGGACATTGAACAATATGGATGACAGAGAAACAAGTACACATTCAGAACAATACTTTTAATTTATATTTCAAGCTCCACATCACCCCAATTTGGAGTGACTAAAAAATCAACTCAATGGATCTGTGTACATCTAAGCCAATCAGAATTAGAGTCCTTGCACTCCTACAAAGTCATGTGACCTCCAAGTCTGACATCAAAATAACATGAAGATCAGCTACAAATAGATTCAGTTTAAGTTTCTTTCAATTTGTTTGTTAAGAGATAAAAGTGTTATAAAAATACACTATGACTTGGTTATCTTTAACCAATTTATCTATAAAATATTATATAATGGATTAGGAATAAGATTTAAGAAACATGATCATTCACATGAAAACTGTCCCAAACTCTCAGATATTTTTAAATTCCTAAAAGATTTTCACTGTAGCTTCTGGCACACTAGTAAAAGATGTCAGTCTAACAAAGTAGTAAACTGAACTTCCAAATTTGCCAATCTTTCCATTCTCCCGAGACTTACAATGACTTATCATTACTTCATTCTAACAAACCTTCACCATAATTCTGAAATTATAACTTAATTTAGATCCAAAATGTACACAAGAGGAGGCTACAGAAAAATTTCCAAAATAAGGTGCCTTCCTAATTAAAAAAAAAAAATCCCTCATTGAATTCTAAGGTCTATAGGGTCAAGACCTGGGTATCATTTCTCAGATTCACCCACATATGGAGCACATGGAAGACAATAATTTTTTTCTGGGAAAATCAACACAGGTAAAAATCATAAAGTAAAAGACTAATAGACAACATCATAAAAATACTTTTAAAAGTTTGTGTAGCAAAAAAATCATAATAAAACTGAAAAACATTATCTGCAACACATGAGAAAAAGGAGATGCTTTCTTTACAATGTCCTCTTACATAAAAATAAGAAAAGATTGGCATCTAAGAGAAAAAGGGGCAAACATGCAGCCTATCTCCAACACCAGGATATCCTAAGGAAGGCGTGGTCATTACAGAAAAAAAGGATAAAAGAAATATCAAGATTCACATGGTAGGTTTAACAAGTTTGCTTAATAATACAGAATTCAAAGAGAAATCTTTAATAAACATGAGGTGTATTGATGAATGTGCATAATCCACTCAGCATTGTTATTACGATCCATGTTTAAACATTTTACATTGTTAAATAATGTTGGCTAATATTGGAAGTTCTGTTAATTACAACTAAAATGTCAAGTAGCATTACTGCAAACACATATTCATTTATATTTTGTGGCTATGTTTACTTTCTTGAGGGAGGAGAAACATCTTTGAGATGGAGAGAGTAATTTTATGTAATGGCACTGCAGAATCGATTCACATTGTTTTTCCATGATTACAACTTTTTTTAGGTGTGTATATATTGTGTTAAATTCATTGAAAAAAAATCTTATTTGCAGGCATAAATAATGGAATTCATGCCTGTGATAAGCAAAAAGAAATAAAATAAAAATTTAAAAAATACATAAATAAGAGAAAAGCAAATGCAATCAAGGATTGTGAAATGCCTAGCACTGAAATCTAGAAACCTGTTTATTAATAACATAGCCTTCTGTTGCCATTTTTAGAAATACTAGATGCTGTTTTTACCTCTCAGAATGTCCCTTCTTGCACTCAGCATCCTTGAGCAAGAAAGACTGTGTTCTCCAGACTGTATGATGGAACACAGGTAGCCACTTATTAATAAGAATCAGTTTGAACTGCCAGATAGAGAAGAAACAGCAGCACAAGCTAATTAAAAGGTCACATTTCAGTTCAAATATCGAAGTGAGAATAATAGTCATTCTCACAGTGCCAACAGACTTTGAAACTGGTTATGTTCACCAATATTTTCAGGATAAATGTACATATACACAGACCAAAAAAGACATTTTCCCTTTAATATAAAAAGAAATTACTTAGGGATAATTTGGCCTAAGCCCATAGATCAGTGGTTCAGGATAGAGCAAGGTATTATCACATCTACAAGACCAGTTCTTCAGCTTTTAAATTTTAATTGAGCCAGTTATTTTTCTCTGTATTTCATACAAATGTATTGAATAATAAAGTTCAAATCTAGGCTCTAAATAAATTTTATAGAATGATTTTTCAACTAGGTGTCTACTTTTCTACCCTATAAAAGTCCTGTGGTAGAAGTGGAAGAAACCAAGGAAAAAGAAATGAGGAATTAAGTCAGAGAGGTAATGGTGGAAATCAGAGATAATTAGGGCCTTGAAAGTGTCACTGCAAGGACACTCAGAAGTCAGCTCTAAGTCAGATAGAAAACTGCTGAAGGTTTTTGAACAGAGAAAAAATTTTAATTTTTTGGCATTTTAATAGGGTCACTCTGCCTACTGGGTTGAGCACAGACTGTATTTAAGGTAAGGGCTACATCAGAGGCCAGTTAAGAAACTATCACTCTAAGCCAGATTGAAATTTCAAGGTGGGTTGGACCAGATGGGGACAGGAGCTGGTGAGAGATCATTCATCTGCGGAACCTGCTGAAAGAAGAGGCAAAGCAGTGTGCCTGGAAATGAGGTATGAAAGGAAAATGAAAGTCAGAATGCTTCCAAGATATTTGGCCCTGAGCAAATGGAGGGATACTTGCTATTGACAGAGATGAGGAAAGCTTTGTGGGACAGGGTCATGGGATAAATGCAGGAGCTCAATTTGAGTTATTGGAAATGTCTGCAATTTGGAAACTTCCATTTGTATATGGCAATGTCAAGTAGATCATTGAGTATACATGTCTCAAATTGAATGAGATGACCAAGAAAGTGAAGGCAGAAAGAGAGAAGAACCAGAGTTAGAGCTCTGGGGTACTCCAACATTTAGTAAAAGAGTAAGAAAAAGAATCAGCAAAAAATATCTCAGCCAGTGGTACAGAACGAAATCTAGAGATTAGCTGTACTGGAGATCAATTTAAAAAAATTTATTGAAGATGATGAGTTATCAAGTGTTAAATAATGTTGGTAGTGGTTATCAGAGACTGGGAAAAGTAGCAGGGAAGTGGATAAAGAGAGGTTGTTTATTGGGTGAAAACATACAGTTAGACGGAATAAGTTCTAAGGTTTAATAGCACAGTATGATGTGCTATGACTTAATAGTAACTGTATATTTCAAAATACCTGGAAGAGATAATTCGGAATACTCCCAACACAGAGAATTGATCCATGTTTGAGGTGATGGATATCCCAATTACCCTGACTTGTGCATGAAACAAAATATCACATGTATACCATAAATATATATAATTATTTTGTATCAAAAAATAATGTAGATAAGATAACTAAAATGAGGACTAAGAACTGACCAACATGTATTACAATGTGGAATTTCCTTGGTGACTTTTGATAAGACCAGCTTCCCAGAGTGGTTAAGAGTAGTCTAGCTGCAGTGTGTTCAAGAGGGAATGAGTCAGCAAAATTCAGATTGTGGTAAACTCCACAGGCAAAGGAAATAAATTGCAAGGTAACTAACGCAGACAGAAGATCCATATTAAACGAAATTAAAAGAGACAAATCAACCAAATATAACAAGTAGACTTTATGTGGATTCACAAGCAACCACAAGATATACCCACAAAAATTTGAATTCAAATAAACAAACCATAAAAAACAAATTATAAAACTGTGGGAATTTTTACACTGGATACTTGTTAATATTAGAGTTATTTTATTTTTTAGGAGTGATTGTTTTATAATTACGTTTGTTGATTAAGAGTATTTCATGTCTTTTAGATATACTTACAAAAGGATTTACAGATAGAATTATACGATGTCTAGCATTTGCTTCAAAATAATACCATGGTGGGGTGAGGATTGGGTGGGAAGGAGAAATATTAATATAAGGATGAGATAAGACTGCAGTGTGTTGAGAATTGTTGAAGTTGAGTGAATGTACCTGGTGGTACTATTTTCTATCCTTTTTAAAAGTTTGAACTTTTTTATAATAAAAATTTAAAAATTGAGGTGTGAGGGATCAGAGAGCAAAAAAGAAAACAATAGAATCCTGAGTATAGGCAACTTTTTCAGAGTTTTGCTGTATAGTGGAGATTCATGTTCAGTAATCACAGGGCAAGCAGGGTCAAGAATTGTTTTTTAAGAGTTAAGAATAATGATTTTGTTTGCTGCTGCTTGGCCTTCCAAGAAGAACTTAGTTCTGAAAAATAATTTAATTCTTTACTAATCAGAATTTAAGTTATAGTGGTGACCTTTCTTAATCATTCTAAGAAATCAATACACAAATATGCAATTTTGGTTGACTTCACAGATGCTTAAGAATCATGTACATTATAAACTTTCTAACAGTCTTATTCTTTTCCAATATAACTACAACCATTACTCACATCTACATATCCATCAAAAACATACATTCATAAATTCACTGTATAATAGCATTGAATGAAAATTCTGTTTCAAAGTTATAATCTACTAATATAATTCACTAGCAAAGTATTAGTGCATGATAGCTAGTAAATTCAGATTAAGTGTAAACAATAACCAAATTGAAAAAAGAAAAAAGGAAAAAATTGTCATACACTTTTTGTAGCCATTCATTAAAATCAAACTATCAACTCATTGGTTTATTAATAGAACTATTATTAAACATTTTCCTTAATCACTACTATACTGATATTTTTTCAACATTAGCGGCTAACAAGTACTCAGTTGTTGCAACAACTACCCACAAATAAATAGTGAACAGGTGATTGTCTGTTTCCATGATTTCTATTTACAGTAGAGATTGTTTGATACTTGCTACTTTCCTTTTATAATAGAAATTTAATTATTGCCTTCTCCCTATTCTTATCCTTCTCCTCCATCCTATAATGCTCTATTTTCTTTCTCTTCATCTGTTTTTTTTTTCATCTCTTTCTCAATTACCATTACCTCTAAGTTCCATTAAAAGTGATTTCAGTTTTCCATTCTAGGAAAAATATCTGGGCAGAAAAGGAATAAGCAGTGGGAGAGCTGTCTGCTCTTTTTAAAAATAAGTTTGAGCAAATATACTTTGCTTCTAAAACTAGATCAGCGACTTAAAAAGAAATTACAGAATTTCCCTCTTTTCTTAGACAAAGCCTCTTTCTATGACAAATCCTCAAGTAACAGGGATAGTTCCCCCACTCTTTCAGCGGTATCTGATATCTATTAGATAAGATAAGCTTCAGGAATGCAGTGAGCCAATTACTTGGGTTGCCCTCAACAAATCTACTTACTTACTGCTGGATCAAACTAAAACATTCATTATTTATACCCCTATTTCTGTACAGTGGGACAAAATTACAGCATACAAAAGGTAAAATACAATGTCACGTGGATAACAAAAAACATCAGTTTGAAAATAATTTGGGCGTAATACCCCCTGTACAAAATTTAATCACCCAAGTGTGCTCAATGATCTGTCAGTGCACAAGGATGCAATTAGAAACAGTAAAACAAAATCCTTTTTGGGATATCATCTGTTGAGCAAAGATTCCCAGGAGATAGTTTTCCCTTGCATTTGAGAAAATTAGCACAGAAACACATAAACCTTCTATATTCAGAAACATATAAACCTTCTCTAATCCAAGTCCAATTATTTATTCCTTTAACTCCTCCAAAAGCAATTTCATATTCTACATGTGAGCATGCCAACAGCAAAAAAGCTGCTTTTAGTATTGTTGACATAGTATTTTTTTTTAATATCAAATTGGCAAATAACACATATTTCAGGTTTGCCCTAATGGAGAATGTCAGGCTCACCCAAATGTATCGGTGCTTTCTTTGTAGACTTTCTCAATCAGTCAGTCAAGCAAAGCTATTAACTTACTCTAATTCCCTACAGAAGTCTTTGGTTTTACCACCTATAAAATGCCTATACAGCCAATTTCCCATTAGCAAATGTAAAAGATTTTTTTATATTACTATTAAGTTGCTTTATCAAATTCAATTTTAGGTCCCTGAAGTCTCTTTCTTGGTTCCACTGTCTGTATAATAGGTATTTGTATTTTTGTGGTTTCTTTCTTTTCACATTGAGAAAGATAAACAACACCAAAGAGTAATAGATAATTTGGTTGGTATAAAGAAAGTAGAATGAGGGACAAAATGGGCTAAATTCACTTTCAATTACAATGACTAGAATTTTATTTTCTTCACTACAGGCCCAATAGTAAAGTATAAGCTGAAAAGTTGCATCTGGTGATCTTACATGAATGCAAAAACTCCAGCGATTTAAAAAATATAATTAAAATAATGTAAGCACAGAATCATTAACTTTCTGGCATATCCACATTTGTCTGACTTATTTCCGTACTGAGCATAATATCCACATACAGTCTTCCCTCAGCTAATGCATAGTATTACCTGTCTACTCGTAAATCCCGTTTCTCATTCTCTATAGTTTCTCACACATTCTTACTTTACTTGTTTTCCTTAAACAATTAGCTTATTTTATTTTTGCTTACGGGGTCATTTGTTTAATAAAAATCTTCTTTTCCAATGTTTATTAAAAATGCATCTGCCTTTTTTACTCACATTTTAAACCAACTTGTCTCCTCCTTCTCTTTGTCTTGATTGTTTTCTCTACACCTCATATTTCTCCTCTACTGCACCTGGGTCTCATTCTGGTTGAGTGAAGAAAGGCCTGACTGAAGGCACTTTCCTGCCTCGCTTTGTAGACTTGGAGGAAAACAGAATGAAGTTTACACATGAGTACAAACCCATGAATGAGGGGAAAGCACAGGGAGCTTGTGTCAAATTCTCCAGCAGAAGAGTATGTGCACAGTTAGAATTGAAAAGCAATGAAATAAACAATGTAAGACACAGGGGAGAGGTACCAACCAGTGTAAGAGCCAGAGAAGCAAAGTGGGAGCCAGGTGAGGAAGTAGCTAGAGGAAGTTTCTGGCCGACATTCATTAATTATAATTCTATCAAATAGCCTGTCATGTTTGGTTTACAATGAGTCTTCAGCCAAGCTCAGAAAGACAATTTAAAAATGTTTTTTAATTACTATATAGATTAAGATATAAAATTCTTTCATCTTTATAATTTAAGATCCTAAAATGTAAAACATGTCAAGACTGATCATTATTATTCATGTATTAGAAGTTAAATAGCAGATGCCTATAAAACACCACATATGTTCTACGGAATAAGAATTTAAAAGAATGAAAAAAAGAGTGTGAGAAGGAAGAAAATAAGCTAGACTTCAAGACAAATATGGTTATTATGAATAAGCATTGGCTGGACTCCCAGCTTTCTAGTGGCTAAGAATAAAGAAAACCGTGGTGTGTAATAAATTTTTAGTATCTGCTATGAGGAAGCAAATCAATTTTTCAAGAGAAATGAACATTAAACTTTTGCCCATACTAATCTTACAACACAGGTTCTTACATTTTTTTAACATGATTCCTTTTAGAATATCATAAAACCTGTAATACCCATCCTAGAAAATCACAGAAGGCTGACACTGACCTTCAGCGCCTCGGCTCCAATGCCATGGCGCCCTCTAGGAAGCTCTTCGTGGGTAGCAGGGTGGAGAACTGGAAGATGAACAGGCAGAAGAGTCTGGGGGAGCTCATCGACACTCTGAACGCGGCCAAGGTGTCCACTGACACCGAGTGGCTTGGGCTCCCCCCACTGCCTATATCGACTTTGCCCGGCAGAAGCTACATCCCAAGATTGCTGTGGCTGTGTGGAACTGCTACAAAGTGACTAACGGGGCCTTCACTGGGAGATCAGCCCTGGCATGATCAAAAACTGCAGAGCCACGTGGGTGGTCCTGGGGCACTCGGAGAGAAGGCATGTCTTTGGGTAGTCCGATGAGCTGATTGGGCAGAAAGTAGTCCATCCTCTGGCAGAGGGACTCAGAGTAATCGCCTGCATTGGGGAGAAGTTAGATGAAAGGGAAGCTGGCATCACTAAGAAGGTTGCTTTTGAGCAGACAAAGGTCATCGCAGATCACATGAAGGACTGGAACTAGGTCGTCCTGGCCTGTGAGCCTGTGTGGGCCATTGGTACCGGCAAGACTGCAACACCCCAACAGGCCCAGGAAGTACAGGAGAAGCTCAAGGATGGCTTAAGTCCAAAGTCTCTGATGCAGTAGCTGCGAGCACCTGTATCATTTATGGAGGCTGTATGACTGGGGCAATCGGCAAGGAGCTGGCCAGACAGCCTGATGTGGATGGCTTCCTTGTGGGTGGTACTTCCCTCAAGCCCGAATTCGTGAACATCATCAATGCCAAACAATGAGCACCATCCATCTTTCTTACCCTTCCTGCCAAACCAAGGGACTAAGCAGCCCAGAAGCACAGTAATTTCTCGTCCCCTGCACATGCTTCTGATGGTGTCATCTGCCCCCTCTTGGCCTCATCCAAACTGAACCTTCCTTTACTGTTTATATCTTCACCCTGTAATGGTTGGGACCAGGCCAATCCCTTCTCCACTTACTATAATGGTTGAAACTAAACGTTACCAAGGTGGCATCTCCTTGGCTGAGAGGTGTAAGGGATGGAATCTGCTCCTGGGTCCCCTAGACCCTCTTGAGGGCAGGAGAGAAAATATCCTGTCCCTTCTTATACCATGAGGCCAAGCACCTCCCCTGAGAAGCCAGGAATACTGCCCTCTCCCACGGTCCCCATGCCTGTGTGTGCTGTGTATATGAACCACCCACATGTAAAGGAATAAACACCTGGCACTGAAAAAAAAAAAAAAAAAGAAAGAAAGAAAAGAAAATCACAGAAATTTTACAGACATCTTCAGAGATTCATGAACTGTCTCAAGCCTGTCCTTGTAACCTCTAGGAGTCCATGATCTACATATTCAGGATTCCTGTCATTAGAATGGACATGGGGGAAGTCTTAAAAGTCATAGTGAATAATGACAACAGAAACTGCAAAATCTGTTTTCATGTCTTTCTTATTTATGTTAAGAGCATAATATTAAGGGATAATTTAGTAAAAATAATTGTATAAGGAAGGTAAAGTCATGAAGTACATATGTGCAGTCACAATGTCTATATTTGACCTTATGGCCAGCATACTAGCTACCCTTTATTTTTCATGGCATAAATGGCTTCTAATAATTTCTTTAAATGTCCTACAGAAGTATAGAATCTATAATACTCAAGTAAATCTAAAAGCAATCTGTTTATCATTTTCTTAGTATATTTTATAGTTTATTAACATACATTGCTAAATAATATATTATTTGGTTTTCCTTATTTGTGGACTTTATAAAAATATAATCATGTTACATGTAGTCTCTTGAAACTTTTTTCAGTCAACATTATGCTTCCAAATTGCATCCATGTTGTTACAGATCACTCAATTCATTATTTTAATCTTGTATAATATTTTATTCAATAAATAAGCCATAAATTATCCTTCATCCATTAATAGACATTTGAATATATTCTATCTAGCCTTTTGCTATTAGAAATTTAGGTTGCTATCAACATCTTCTGGGAAAAAGGTTTTACTCTGACAATGGAAACAGGGGAAGAGATCACAAGCCAATTACTAGTAATAGTCTAAGTCTTGGGCTAGCTGGTTATAAGGACATTCATTAATTATTATGCTTTAGAACCTATCTGTAAGTTACATATATTATTTCGTATTTATAAAATATGTTTTTAAGTTAAAATTGATAACTAAAATATTTTATAATACTAAAAAAATTGGATTATGGAGATTCATGCTTTAAAAAATAGCCGAAATTTCTTCAAACACCAAACTTTTCAAAAGTGGAAAACCATCTACTGGAAGTCCTCGGTCTCTACTAATTATAATGTAACAATTTTGTTTTCTATCATTTTGCCAGGACTTGCTAAATCAATAGCATGACTTTCCATTTTCCTAAACTACCACTTCGCTGAGTTACTTTTGATAAGAGATAGCACAGAGTTTAAAGATATCCAGCATCAAAACCAGTACCTATTTGTTTTGCTATAAACTATTGCATAACACAAATACGAGTTATTGAGTTGCTTTTTTATTGTTTTTATCTGAAATGTCACTGTATTCTCTGGATTATAACAGCCTAAGGCTAAACAGAGGAATACTCTACAACCACTGTATACCAGAGAAGAAAACCAGGGCTTCCTAATTCATTCCCCATCTGTCTTCTATGGAAGTGCAAAGGGGATCATGTGTTGCCGTTGTGTATAAAAGATTCCTTGAAGCATCTTGGATCAAGTAGCATGCAAGATGGCCATATATGAACAGCTCCGGTCTACAGCTCCCAGCAAGATCAACGCAGAAGGTGGGTGATGTCTGCATTTCCAACTGAGGTACCCAGCCGGCTCATTTCACTGGGACTGGTAGACAGTGGGTGAAGCCCACAGAGGGTGATCAGAAGCAGGGTGAGGCATTGCCTCACCTGGGAAGTGCAAAGGGATGGGGAATTCCCTCCCCTAGCCAGCCAAGGGAAGCCATGAGAAACTGTCCCATGAGGGACAGTGCACTCCAGCCCAAATACTACCCTTTTCCCAGTCTTCGAAACCTGCAGACCAGGAGATTCCCTTGAGTGCCTACGCCACCAGGGCCCTGGGTTTCAATCACAAAACTGGGTGGCCATTTTGGCAGACACCCAGCTAGCTGCAGGAATTTTTTTCATACCCCAGTGGCACCTGGAATGACACTGAGACAGAAATGTTCACTCCCCTGGAAAGGGGGCTGAAGCCAGGGAGTCAAGTGGTCTAGCTAAGTGGATCCCACACCCACAGAGCCTAGCAAGCTAAGATCCACTGGCTTGAAAGTTTTGCTGCCAGGACAGCAGTCTGAAGTCAACCTGGGACACTTGAGCTTGCTGGGGGGAGGAGCATCCACCATTACTGAAGCTTGAGTAGGCAGCTTTCCTCTCACAGTGTAAACAAAGCCACTGAGAAGTTCAAGCTGGATGGAGCTTACCAAAGCTCTGCAAAGCCACCAAAGCTCTGCAAAGCCACCATAGCCAGACTGCATCTCTAGATTCCTCCTCTCTGGGCAGGGCATCTCTGAAAGAAAGGCAGCAACTCTAGTCAGGGGCTTACAGATAAAAATTTCATTCCCTGGGACAGAGCACCTGGGCGAAGGTGCAGCTGTGGGCACAGCTTCAGCAGACTTAAACGTTCCTGCCTGCTGGCTCTGAAGAGAGCAGTAGATCTCCCAGCACAGCACTCAAGCTCTGCTAAGGGACAGACTGCCTCAAGTGGGTCCCTGACCCTGTGCCTCCTGACTGGGAGACACCTCCCAGCAGGGGACAACAAACACCTCATACAGGAGAGCTCTGGCTGGCAACTGGTGGGTGCCCCCCTGGGACAAAGCTTCCAGAGGAAGGAACAGGCAGCAATCTTTGCTGAGCTACAGCCTCCACTGGTGATACCCAGGCAAACAGGGTCTAGAATGGTCCTCCAGCAAACTCCAGCAGACCTGCAGCAGAGGGGCCAGACTGTTAGAAGGAAAACTAGCAAACAGAAAGAAATAGCGTCAACATCAACCAAAAGGATATCCATACAGAAACCCCATCCAAAGGTCACCAACATCAAAGACCAAAGGTAGATAAATCCATGAAAATGAGAAAGAAACAGTGCAGAAAGGCTGAAAATTCCAAAAACCAGGACATCTCTTCTCCTCCAAAAGATCACAACTGGAATGAATTTGACGAATTGACAGAAGTAGCTTCAGAAGGTGGGTAATAACAAACTCCTTTGAGCTAAAGGAGCATGTTCTAACCCAATGCAAAGAATTTAAGAACCTTGAAAAAAGGTTAGACGAATTGCTAACTAGAATAACCAGTTTAGAGAAGAAGATAATGACTTGATGGAGCTGAAAAACACAGCACAAGAGCTTCATGAACTTACACACCACTCCTATTCAAGATAGTATTGGAAGTTCTGGCCAGGGCAATCAGTCAAGAGGAAGAAATAAGGAGTATTCAAATAGGAAGAAAGGAAGTCAAATCATCTTTGTTTGCAGATGGCATGATTGTATAGTTAGAAAACCTTAACGTCTTAGCCAAAAATCTCCTTAAGCTGATAAGCAACATCAAGAAATATCTCAGGATACAAAATCAATGTGCAAACATTACAAGCATGGGAGGGAGTGTCAAGATGGCCATGAGAAGGCAACACCAGAATGCAGCTCCCAATGAATAAGACATAGAGGGCTAGAGGACTTCATGATTCCAAACGAGGTGCTGAGTTCATTTCAGTGGGACTGATAGGGCAGTCTCCTTCTCCACTTCTCTTGGAGTCCTGTGACTACCATAAAAATCCCAAGCTAACCTCCAGGAGGATGAGGGACTATGTAAGAGAAGCCCTACTGGTCCCAGCTGACTGACCAAGCCCAGCTAAGATAAGTAGAGCCTATCCCAAAGTGCTAACCTTTAGACTCATGAGCTAATTAAATAGTTGTGATAGAGCAAAGCCTAACTAATACACGGAAGAAAAAGCGCCACTGAAGGAAACAATGGCAAAAAATTCACGAAAGAAGCAAAACAAAGAGCATCTTTGTAGGAGAAAAGAATAAATAAAAGGTTCTTCTTCAAAGCTTTCCTCCTAGTTCATTATGAATAAACAACAGCTTCTTCAAAGGTTAATTTACTTTAAAGGTTTTGCTAATAATCTTAAAGTTGCTTAGTCATAATAAGGAAATAAGTGCATCCCGTGTTCTTACACTTTAACCTAGATATTTGCCCTGACATGCCTGGACAAGCCCAGGCAAGTCTTAGGTCATAGCTTATTCCCCTTCCTTATTTGGAAATGTTATCTATCGCTTCTCTAAGCATTCTTCAAGTTACTTCCTCTTTTCCTTTGTTCTCCTCTGCCTTTACCTCTTTAGAAAATTTCCAAGTTTTTAGCCCATCAGGTCAAGCATCCTTGTGATGGATTACGTTTATAAACTTGCGTATGTTGAACCAGGCTTGCATCTGCAAGATGAAGCCTACTTGATCATGATGAATAAGCATTTTGAATTGCTGTTGCATTCTGTTTGCCAGTATTTTATTGAAGTGCATTCTGTTTGCCAGTATTTTATTGAAGATTTTTGCGTCGATGTTCATCATGGATATTTGCCTCAGGCTTTCTTTTTTTGTTGTGTCTCTGCCCAGTTTTGGTATTAGGATTATGTTGGTCACATAAAATGAGTTAGGGAGGATTTTCTCTTTTTGTATCGTTTGGAATAGTTTCAGACGGAATGATACCAGCTCCTCTTTGCACATCTGGTAGAATTCGGCTGTAAACCCATCTGGACCTGGGCTTTTGTTAGTTGGTAGGCTATTAATTGCTGCCTCAACTTCAGACCTTGTAATTGGTCTATTCAGGGTTTCAACTTCTTCCTGGTTTAGTCTTAGAAGTGTGCAAGTGTCCAGGAATTTATCCATTTCTTCCAGATTTACTGGTTTTTCTGCATAGAGTTGTTTGTAGTACTCTCTGATGGTAGTTTATATTTCTGTGGAATCAGTGGTGATGTCCCCTTTATCGTTTTTTATTGCATCTATTCGATTCTTCTCTCTTTTCCTTTTTATTAGTCTAGCCAGTGGTCTATTTTGTTGATCTTTTCAAAAAGCCAGCTCCTGGATTTATTGATTTTTTGAAGAGTTTTTTGTGTCTCTATCTCCTTCAGTTCTGCTCTGATCTTAGTTATTTCTTGTCTTCTGCTAGCTTTTGAGTTTTTTTGATCTTGCTCCTCTAGCTCTTTCAGTTTTGATGATAGGATGTC